TCTGTGAGTTTTGGCATATAACTTGAAAGAAATTCAAATAATTGGGTGACCCTGATATTTTAAAAATACCTTCTACTTATTTATGTGACTGAGTTTTCTCAGTGCTTATATCTATTAAAATAAAAAGTAGGAATCAAATTGTGCTCAACTCTGGCTCATCTGACAATAAGTAATATTTATTCAAAGATACATGAACTAGTGGGAAAAACAAAACCCTACTATATTCATCTCATTGAAATGCATACAATTTTATTTTTGTTTATTTAAATTTGTATTTGCTTTATTGTGTATTTTTTAAGTATTATAACAATAACTCGATCTAGAAGAGATTTTTAAACACTTGGTCTTCTCATTACTGGAAATTTTTAAAAAATTACCTTTCAATATGTAGACGTTTGTATCAGGATATACAGTATGATCAATAAAATAATGGAGCATAAAATTTATTAGGATCATGTTCTGTGAGGAAATGAAATAAAAATAAAATTTGTTTTATGTTTTGAATGGATGATGGTAGATATCAGAACACTGTGGTAATTGAATTCAAGCACATAAAATTAAAGTGTTAATGTAGCCATTTTATTTCAAATTCTGTTAGGTTGGAAATGATACTTAAAACTATTTAATCTTATGGGGAAAATTTGATACATTTACAGCTTAAATGTATTGCTTTGTTGGGGTTTTTTTGTTGTTGCTCACATACCTCCTAAAATAAATTTTACAAGTTGGAGCACTGGGGGAATAGGGAGTACGTGGAGAGTGAAACGAGCTTCTGAGTAGAACCTGACAAACCTCCTGATTTAAAGAAGTCAGAAGAAAAGGAGGCTGCCGGAAAGACTGGGAAAGAGGACGCAGATAGCCGAGGGCAGCTCGGGCACGTGTGCCAGGGAGGCTGACGGGAGGACAGGGCAGAGGGGTCAGCGGGTCATGTGCTTCCCAGCCATCCCGCGGGATGAAGACCAGAAGCGCGTCTGCGCCCTTTCGTGACGAGGAGCTCATTTCCATCTTCCCGAGAGTGCTGCGGAAAGGAGCAGAAGCCAAACTTTAGTGATTTCACTGTCCTGGCACTGACGCTCACTAAATGGTGTTGTAATGCGTTCTTACCATTTTGTCCTTTGCTTCCTTGCCTTTTGGCTAAAGTCAAATCAAATACTTGTTGCTTCCGATTACATGCCTCCCTGCCGACAGAAACATTTTACTTATCCACATGTCATGCTGTTATTGACACACCGTGTAATGCAGGAAAGGGCGGTATGTGTACCTGTGTAGGTAATCCTTCTAGCGAGATTTTTATTATAAAATACCATTACAAATCAAGTTTAGAAGATAAGTAGGATATCAGATTTAGAGACAAGGCTCAATATTCAAAACATTCTAGATAAGTCAGTTCCCAGATCTCATACTATACCATGACTGTGATGTAGAAATACAAACTGTACTCAGCAGGGAGCTTTAAGCAGTGATGGAGTCCTGAAGAACGTGGCACGTACTCTGAATGTTTACTTTGACGTATTTCTGCATTTTCAGTCTGAAAATTCTCTTTAGACAGTAACGCTGAGATTCATTTATGCAATTACCCTTCAACAGAAGGATGTCTCTAGTTTTGATTCTTTTCCTTTCCTTTGTCTTGTGTCCTTCTTCATGAAAGACCAGAGATAATAAGGGACTTTGTCTACAGTTCTGTTGAGGAAATTTTCAAGTATAGCTTGGCTTAAATCCAGAGAGTTGAAAAACAAAAATGGACTTTTAAGGAAAAAAAATATGGTTAGACAACCACTAAATAAATAAAAGAATAAATTACTTTTGTTTTATACCTACAGGCTGTTGTCTGCCATTCTAAGAGTTTCAGAAGTTGAATCTCGTGCAATAAGAGCAGATCTCACACATCTACTAAGCCCCCAAATGGGCAAAGATATTGTTTGGTTTTTAAAACGCTGGGCAAAGACTTACCTTCTGGTGGATGAAAAACTGTATGATCAGGTCAGAATGTAAAACTGTTAAACTTCATTTGGATTTATGTTAATTACAGTTATAGAAGCAGGAACATTTTTTGTAGTGACCTTTTTCATCAAAATGTAACTGCTTTAAGAACAGTTTAACATCTTCCACATTGAACAGACTGTTGAATGGAATGCTGTTTTAATAGCTTTTCTTAGAGCACATCATTTGATTCA